ACTTCCGCCGGCCACGCTGCGCTCCCAGACAGATTGCAATCGAGCGGAGGGCGGCGAGCCCGAGTAGGTGGCCACATGTGAACCCTACCCCCCCCCTCTAAGGGGGATGTGGAGGTTCGCTGCGCTCGGGACCTCCCGAACGAAATGAACCCCCACCCCCTCTTAGAAATCGCGGGGGGTGTGGGTACAGTAGAGGCCCATGCCAAGAAACACCCTGCTTGCCTCTAGGGTGCCCTGGGTTTCTTGGGTTTCGATGTTTTTGCTATGGAAAGGGTGACGTCCCCACGCCAAAAATCGAAGGACATCCTGGGTTCTCAAGGTTGGGTCTCTTGTGGAAGGCTTCTTGTGCAGTGGCCCCCACTGCAGGGTTCGCATGTGGCCACCGACCGAGGGGAGGAGGAGGAGCGAGGAGGAGCGAGGAGGAGGAGGAGGAGGAGGAGGAGGAGGAGGAGGGAAGAGGAGGAGGAGGAGGAAAAGGATGAGGAAGAGAGGAGGAGGAGGAGGAGGAGGAGGAGGAGGAGGAGGAGGAGGAGGAGGGAGGAGGAGGGGGAGCGGGGCGCCGGCGCGACCGCGGCGTGCACGCCGCCCAGCGGCAACAGCCAGGAGCTCGCGGAGCCGCCGGGCGCGCCCGCGGCGCAGCCTGCGGCGCCTCCTCGCCGCTCCTCCGCCCTCACCGCCCTCGTGGTCGCCGCGCCTCGCCGTGCTCGCCGCCCTCGTCGTCCTCGTCGTCGTCCTCGCCGTCGCCCTTCGTCGTCCACGTCGTCGTCGTCGTCGTCGCCGTCGCCGTTGCCGTCGTCCTCGTCGTCGTCCTCGCCGTCGCCCTTCGTCGTCCACGTCGTCGTCGTCGTCGCCGTCGCCGTCGCCGTCGCCGTCGTCGTCGCCGTCGCCGTCGCCGTCGCCGTCGCCGTCGCCGTCGTCGTCGTCGTCGTCGTGGTCGTCGTCGTCGTCGTCGTCGTCGTCGTCGTCGTCGTCGTCGTCGTCCTCGTCGTCGTCGTCGTCGTCGTCGTCGTCGTCGTCGTCGTCCTCGTCGTCGTCCTCGGCGCTCCTCGCCCACGCCGCCCTCGTTATCCTCGTACTCGTCTGTCGTCCTCGTCATCGTCCTCGTTCTCGTCCTCGTCCTCGTCGTCGTCGTCGTCGTCGTCACCCTCGTCGTCGGCGTCCTCGCCGTCGCCGTCCTCGCCGTCGTCCTCCTCCCCCTCGTCGCGTCATCGTCGTCACACCCGTCGTCGACGTCATCCTCGTCGTCGTCGTCGTCGTCGTCGTCGTCGTCGTCGTCGCCGCCGCCCTCGCCGCGAAGAAACCGAAGGATTGTGCGGGACTGCATTCGATCCGAAACAGACTCCCTTATGCAACCCGCACAGCGCACAGATGTGCGCCCGCTCCCATTGATCCACGGCTTCCCCGTTTTGTCACGGATGGATGCACGATTTACAGAACCTCCTGGGCTTGACCGTACTCCACGCCATGGCGCTGTACTCCCGACACTGAAGGGCACCCCAGAGGGAGCGAAACGCCCGCGAAAGGATGCACAGGAAGGCTGCGCGTTCGCAGTGCTGCTGCGAACCCTTGGGCCAGAATGGCTTGAGCCAAAATGGCTTGAGCCATCGCCGCGCCTCCTCGCGCTCGCCGCCCTCATTCTCCTTGTCGTCGTCGTCGTCGTCGTCGTCCTCCGGGAAACTGTTCAGGGAAAAAGCAAGCGAGCTGTTCAGGGAAAAACGATGCAAACGAAATCCACAGCGTGCGTTGCCATCCTCTGTTATGTTCTTAGCCCTTGAATGTTATATCTTCGTGCTGTCCCACCCTGCGGACTTTGACCTGCTGCTGCCTTGCTCGCGCGCTGCACGGCACGCGCGCGCATACTGCCGCATTCTTTCTTCTTGGCCCAGAAGAGGGCCGAGAGTCCGAAACGTGCCGCCATCAGAAGGGTGGTCGAGATCAGTAGTACACCAACAGAGGCCTCCCAGATGGGGTCCGACTGGATGGGGCCGTGGGATTGCGCCGCATCGCCGATGCATCGCCGACGCATCGACGACTCATCGGCTGAGTCGGCGGTGCATCGGCGATGCTGGCGTAGCGAAAATCGGGCCCCACATCGAGCCGCATTGCCGATGCATCAGCGATGCGGCGCGATCCTCCGACCCCACCTTTGGGGATGGACAGACCTCCCTTTAGTAAAACGTGGTTTAGTGAAAACGACCTCGGGCCCAAACCTGGCGGGCGCAAGCCTGGAAAATAACGGCCGCGGAGCCCTCTCGAGAACCGAAAACGGACATTTCACTAATCGACGTGTCACTGTTAGGAGGTCTGTCCACCCCCGACACCTGGGAGGCCCAGAACGAGGAGGGAGGAGGGAGGAGCGTCGCGGCGAGAAAGGCGCGAAGTGGAGCCACGGAGCCAGGCGGGCGCCCGGCGCAGGAACCTGTGCGTGCGAGGCTGGGATCTGTGCTCTGGGGAACCGATGTCCCAGACGTGCTCGCGTCGCGATGAGGTCACGACGGATGCTTCTGTTGCCATTTTCTTCGGCCTCTGTGGGCCCCTCGCCGGGCCCCAGGGACAGCCCAAGACGTCGTCAAGAAACGGCGGGCGATGCAAAACCGTCCCCGGGGAACGGGTCGGGACTTCCGGGCACCCCGTATTGTTGGAGGCCTGGAAATTGACACCAACACCAACACGGGGGGTTGCCTCCACATGGGGAAGATGGTCCTAGATTTCGGTGTTAGTGGTAATATTTCGGCCACCCTGGAAGCCAGAATATTACCACCATCACCGAGATCGGGATCTTTCTTCCCTCGGTGGAGGCACACCGCCGAAATTGGTGTTGGTGTCAACCTCTAGGCCTGCGATATTGAACAAGAACAAGACATCGGACCTCTGAAAAGGCAGGAATCCGTCAGCATCGCATCGGGACAGCGGGGGTCGAATCGGCAAGCGCGGCGGGCCGGGCCGCGCCGCCACGGAGCCGGAGCCAGCTCGCATCGGCAGCGCCAGGACCAACATCGGGCCGCATTGGATCGTCGGATCGGATAGGAGGAGGAGGAGGAGGAGGAGGAGGAGGAGGAGGAGGAGGAGGAGGAGGAGGAGGAGGAGGAGGAGTCGAATCGGATCGGACCGGCCAGCATCGATGCCGCTGCTCCTCGGCCTTGGCCCTGCGAGGCGAGGGCGGCGGTGGATAGGCATTACCTTCGGGCCCCCTCTAAAACAGGGCACAGATCGGGATAAATCGCTCCAGAGCGTTCCGGAGCGCTCTCAGAGCGTTCCGGAACGCTCTGGAGCGGCCGCGGCGCCCAATACATCTTCCGAACCCGCCGATTCTCAGAGATTTCGACTTATCCCGATCCGATTTTGTCCCGATCTTCGCGTCGTTTTACCCTCGCGGCCCGAGGAGATCCACCGCCGCCGCCTCCCGAGGCCCAGGAAGATCGGCTCCCCAGGCGGCGGACTTATGTATAACTGGCCCCCGGCCGCGGAGCGCACGCGTGAGATGGGCTTCCTGCACGCGCGCGGGAGGAGGCCCACTCGAGGCCGAGGAGCGGGGGGGTGGCGGGCCAGCCCGCCTGTCCAGCCCAGCTCCCGTCGGCATCGGTCCTGGCCCGGGACTCCTATCGGCGGTGGACAAACCTCCCTTTCGTAAACCTCCCCTTAGTGAAAACGACCTGGGACCGAAACCGACGGAGCTGGACCCGCAAAAGTGACGGCCGCGACGCCCTCTCGCGAACCGAAAACGGCCAATCTGGGTAGTCGAAGCCAATCTGGCGCCAATCTGGCAGGCCCAGTCTGGCAAACGGGGGCAATCTGAAGAGGGAGCCAACGCGAATCCAGTCTGGCGAATAACCCCAATCCTCCAATTTGGCCAAGCCAGATTGGCCCTTGGGGCCCAATCCAATCTGACAGTCTGGCCTTCGACTACCCAGCCAATTCCTTAATCGACGTGTCAGGGTAGGAAGTCGATCCACCTCCGATCCCATAGGACCCCTCCCGGGGTCGAAGCGCACCGGTTTTCCGAGCCCGGGACCGACACGGCGGCGAGGGGCCACCCTAGGGGGGCATTTGCGAACCCTACCCCTACCCCCCACGACTTCTGAGGGGGATGGGGGGGTTCACTTCATTCAAGAGCTCCCGAGCGAAGTGAACCCCACCCTCCCCCTCAGAAATCGTGGGGGGTAGGGGTAGGGCTCGCAAGTGGCCCCCTACACCCCCGAAAGCCACGAGGCCCTCCCTGCCTCCACTGGCCCTCCCCCGGAGGTGTTGTCGCTGGCTTTGCCAGACGTCGCCATGCCGGCCAGTGCCGACACGGAAGAGCAAGATGACGGCGGCGACGTCGGCTACCGCAGGGGCGATCGGCCGGCAGGCCAGCCTGAAGTTTGAAGAGACCCCTCCGCCGATCGCCGTCCCTGTAAGGATGGCCGGTTAGCGCCGCAGATCAGGACAAAGGACATGGCCACCAGTCGGCCAGACAGAAACACGCAAGGATCCCCCTCCTCTAATTACTTCTCTTCTCTTCTCCTCTTTCTCGTCCTCCTCTCCTCTTCCGTTCCCTTCCCTTCCATTCCCTTCCTCTCTCCCTCCTCTCTCTTGTCTCACTGCCTCTCTCTCTCTCTCTCTCTCTCCCCACATGCACACCGCCTCTTCCTTCCCTCCTCCTTCCTCCCGCCGTCTCCCACCTCCCACCTCCTCCAACGTCCTCCACCTCCACCGCCCTCCTCCTCCTCCTCCTCCTCCTCCTCCTCCTCCTCTTCCTCCTCCTCCTCCTCCTCCTCCTTCTCCTCCTCCTCCTCCTCCTCCTCCTCTACTGGGTGCTGGTGGCTTGAATGTCTGCCAGACGCTGCCATCCCTCTCCTCCCTCCTCCTCCTCCTCCTCCTCCTCCTCCTCCTCCACCACCTCCACCTCCTCCTCCTCCTCCTCCTCCTCCTCCTCCTCCTCCTCCTCCTCCTCCTCCTCCTCTCACCCTCCTTCCTTCCCCCACCACCCCTTCCGCCGTCCACCGGCCTCCCACCTCACCCCCTCCCTCGTCCGCGACCACATTCGGCGGTGCCCCCCGCGTGGATGCCTCAAGCATCGCGCTGGCGCGCCCGCTTAAAGAGCGTTGCAGCGAGGTCCTTCGCCTTCGAGGGCCCGGAAGGATCGACTGCGCGCCCACGGCGAAGTTCCGCCAGTGGGCCCGCGGAAGCATCGCGAGGGCAGCTGTGCCGGCGAACAGCGCCGGAAGGTCGGCGGAAACCGGCGGCCGCGCAGGCAGCACAGCAAGCGCGCCTCTGAGGTCATGCAGCGCAAACAACGTGTGGAAAACATTTCGCCAGGGCGGCGAGGGTCTTGCGGAGGGGGAGGGGGGGAAGGGATCGCCAGTGAACTCAGGGCGGGGCGGGAGGGAGAGGGACAGGGGGAGAGGGAGAAGAAAGATTTTTTTGGTCACCGTTGACCGACCAGTTATGACAGTGCGCCAACCATGTTGCTCTAAACCCTCCCTGCAACTGCTCTTTTTGGTAGGCCTCTGCAAATTGAAAGACAACCGTGTGAGAACCCTCCGTCGTGCCAAAACACCATTCCAGGGGCTTCAACGCCGCGAATTAACGTGACGGCTGCGTCCAGGCGACACCACACAAGGACACCGCGAATCCACGTGCCTGTTGCGTCCTGACAATCCTAAGTATTGCCAGAGAACCAATCCTGGGACTCCCACCCAAACGAGCGCGCGCGGCGATACAGCGAATACCACATGTTGGAAAGGAGCCGCCCTCCATACTTGAATCTGCTGCAGTCTTTGAAAACGACCGTGCGCAATGCTAAGGCGGAAATCACACTGTGACAAGGACCCGCCCGTCATCACTTAAGCGGTTGCAGCATTTGTTGACGACTGCGCGCAGCGCTGAGGCGAGAACCACATGCTGAAAAGGACCCGCCCTTTATCCTTGAGGCTGCCCTGACTCCGGATCCGCCCTACTTGGTGGAAATTCGTAAGTAGGGCTTGGAATTTCCGCCCTACTTTTCAGGCCCCGCTGATGCCAATTCCCGCCCTACTTTTCTGCTGCTGTTTCCGCCCTACCTCTGTGGATCCCCGCCCTACTTTTCATGCTGGGTGCAGAAATCTCCGCCCTACTGTTTCGGCCTCTTGTAGGTGGATGTCCGACGCAGTTTTAGGTGGGAAAAAAGCCAAAGCAGGGCGGATCTGGAGTCAGGGAGGCTCCTGTCGAGTTGCCACAGGCCTTCCGGCATTGCCCAATTACCAGGGTCAGGAGCAGCGCCCTACTTTTTCGCCCTACCTTTTCGGCTTCTTGTAGATGGCTTTCCGACGCAGTTTTGAATGGGAAAGAAAGCCAAAGTAGGGCGGATCTGGAGTCAGGGTGCTGCGCACGTGTAAGACCAGTGAGCGCGCCGCGCGGCTCTCCGGCGAGAGCCACGTTTGGCAAAGGGGCCCGCCCTCCACCCTTGACGCTGCCGCGGTCAACTCCCCGTCGCTTGGACGTCCACTCCCTGCGTTTTTTGTTCGGTCTCGTGCGTGTTTTTGTTTGCTCGATGGTCCAGGATGGTCCTCGATGGTTCTCGCCGAAGAAAAAATGCACACCCTTGACGCCGCCGCGGTCAGGCTTCAGGGCCACACATAAGTGGGGAGAGGAAGTCTCGTGCGAAACGCTTGGGCCCGCCCTGCCGACGCAGTCTGGGCGGGCGAGAGGGGGGAGCGATTCCTCGTGGAGGAGGAGGGGGAGGAGGAGGAGGAGGGGGGGGAGGAGGAGGAGGAGGAGGAGGGGAGAGGAGGAGGAGGAGGAGAGAGGAGGAGGAGGAGGAGGAGGAGGAGGAGGAGGGAGGAGGAGGAGGAGGAGGAGGAGGAGGAGGAGGAGGAGGAGGAGGAGGAGGAGGAGGAGGACGACGAAACAGGAGGACGGAGGAGGCGGAGCGCGAGGGAAGGGCTCCGATTCGCGCTATGCCAGCCCGCCCCCCCAACCATAACACCATGACCCTAACTCCCGAACCCTTACGCCCGAATCCTAACACCCTGATAAAAGCAGGGCCCAGGCACGCCCCAAGATCGCCCCGAGAAGCAGGGGATGCAAGACGCCGCAAGACCGTGGTGACGCGATAAGAGGATCGGTCGATATCATGGGGAGGGCTTAGGGCGGGAGGGATTGATCCGCGCAAGCTCTCGTGACCCTAACACCCTAATCCGAACCCTACCGCCGCTACCCAAACCCTACCACCCTAACCCTCCCACCCCAACCCTATGTAACACCCGAATCCTAACACCCTAACCCAAACCCTACCGTAACACCCGAACCGGCGCAAGGGGATAAAAGCGGCCCCCCTCCCCGAACCATCTCCGGCGCAAAGCGGGGAGGGGGGGGGGGGTCGAACCCCCCCCCTCTCCGGCGCGAAGGGGGGGGAGGGATGGGGAGGTTCGAAACCCTCACTGCCCCCCCTTCAAAGGGAGGGGGGGGTCCGAAAACTCTCCCCCCCTCCTTTAAAGGGGGGAGGGGAGGGGGGTTGTCCGAGCACGCACCCCCTTTTCAAAGAGGGGGATCCACTGGCGCTCTTTCTCTACGAGGAACAGGAGTGAAGGGGTAGAGAGCAGGAGGAGGAGGAGGAGGAGGAGGAGGAGGAGGAGGAGGAGGAGGAGGAGGAGGAGGAGGAGGAGGAGGAGGAGGAGGGGAGGAGAGGAGAGGAGGAGGAGGAGGAGGAGGAGGAGGAGGAGGAGCGCACCCAGGTAGGAAGGAGGAGGAGGAGGAGGAAGAGGAGGAGGAGGAGGAGGAGGAGGAGGAGGAACGGAAGAGGAGGAGGAGTGAAGGGGGAGGGAGAAGAGCCAGCCTCCTGACAACAAAAAACCTACGGAGGCCGGGCTGCCGCTGCCCGGCCAGCCCTGGCCGCGGGCTCTGGCCCGAGGTCCGTGCCCCGGCGCCGCCCAGCCTGCCCAGCAGGGCCGACGCGCTGGGGCCGGAACAGACAAAAAGCAGGAACGGGGACAGCGACGGGGGGGGCCGCGAGTCTGGAGGCCTCCGAGCTGGGGTCCTGGCAGAGGGGTGGCCTCGCAGGCTCGCGCCGCACCGCTGCGTCGGCGCTGCACCGGCGGTGCGTCGGCGATGCGTCGGCGAGGCATCGGCGCCGCCGGGGTGGGGAGCATCGGAGTCCACAGCGAATCGCAGGACCGGAGCCTCGGCGCTGCGGCGCGGCCCTGCGACCCCATCATCTGCCCCCACCCCACGCGGGAGGCCTGGAGGCTCTATAGGGTAACCAGCCTCGAACGCATCCCTATCCCCAAGATGGGCGAGCAAAAAGCGAGGGCAATCCTAGGGACAGGCCCTCAGAAACTGAGGGAATCCTCAGGATCGGCATCGAGGTAAGATGATGTCAAACATAGGGATAGGGATATGTTTCAAACTGGTAATAGGGGCAGGAAACAAAGGCGCGTGGGCAAAGACTTTCGGAGGCAAGCTCGGATCTCTTGGGTCTGCGCTGGGCGCCCCCCGGGCGGCGCCTCTGGCGCGCTCCGCGCGCCCGGAAGGGGGTCCCGGCGCCGATCCGAAGCATCCGCGCGGATCTCTGGCGGTTCATGAGGCACGGAATTCCAGAAATGTGGCAACTCCCCTGTGTTTTCGGATCCTGACCCCGCCGACCTGCGTGAGGGGTGGCACCGAATTTCAGAAATGTGGCAAGTCCCATGTGTTTTCGGACCTTGACTTCGCCCAGGAGGGCCCAGGAGGCTCCAGGAGAGTTGTACGCGTGGCCTTCCGAAGAGCGAAAAACTGCGCGAACCTCAAGTTTCGGAGGTCCGCGCGGCTCTCCTGGAGCGGCGCTGGGCCCCCGTCCCCCGGCGCGCGGAGCGCTGCAGGGGCGGCGCCGGAAGCTTCGCCAGGGGGTCTAGCGCCGATTCAGAAGATTCGCGCGGAGCTCTGAAAGTTTATGTCAATGCCGTAGCTTGTGCCTCGAAGCAAAGGGAGGCCCCTGGCGCGCGGAGCGTTGCAGGGGCGGCGCCGGAGGCTTCGCCAGGGGGTCTGGCGCCGAGTCAGAAGATTCGCGCGGAGCTCCGAAAGTTTATGTCGATGCCGTGGTTTGTCTTGGAGGCCTGGAAATTGGCACCAACACCAGCACAGGGGGACTGCCTCCACATAGGAAGAATGATCCTAGATTTTTCGGTGTTGGTGGTGCTACTTCGGTCACCTTGGAAACCAAAATGTGACCACCATCGCCGAGATCGGGCTCGCCTTCCCTCGGTGGAGGCACACCGCCGATCTTGGTGTTGGTGTCAACCTCTGGGCCTGCGAGTGTGCCCCGAAGCAAAGGGAGGGTCAGCGAGCAGTCGAACAACACACGCCAGGCGGCAGGGCCCCGAAGCAGCCGCACGCAGCATACGTCGTGCCCCTTCCGCTCCCAGATCCCCCCTGCCACGTCCGACCCGGCGCGCCCCCCAGAGCCATCGCTCGGACGTCCATTCCGTGTGTTCTTTTCGGTTTCGTGCGTGGCTTTTTCGCCAAATGATCAAGGATGCTCCTTGATGGTCCTCGCCGAAGGAAAAATGCACACGTCCGAGCGATGCCGAGCCCACAGAGCCATCATCGATGGTCTGGGGAAGTGCACGGAGGAGGAAAACACGGCGTAAGCATATAATTTTTTGGCGCTCCGCGCGGATTTCTTGGGCCTGCGCTGGGCCCCCCCTCCCTGGCGCGCGGAGCGCGCCAGGGGCGGCGCCGGAGGCGCCCAGCGCGGATCCAAGAAATCCGCGCGGAGCACCAACAGTTTACGCTTGTGCTGGTTTGTTCTTCTTCGAGTGAGATGGGGAGAAGCGTGCAGCATCGATGCGGGGAATCGGGTCGAACCGGAGCGTGCGTCGGACCAGACCGCATCAACACGGAGTCGGAATCGAGCCGAGCAGGCCGCGCCAGGATGCACACCAGCGCCACACAAGCATCGGACCGTATCGGATCGCCAAGAACTAGGATCGAGCCGGGCGAAATCGACGTCGAATCGCATCGATCGAATCGAAATCGACGTCGAACCGCATCGATCGAATCGAAAGTCACCCTGCTAGGCCAGCCGGGTTCGCGCTGGGCGCCTCGAGATGTGCGACGCGGGGTCGTCCTCCGCGCCCTCGCGCCCTCGAGCCGCCCATCCGTGGGGGTGGCAGATGCTATGCAACGGACGGCGCCGCGCGAGGTGCTATCATTGTCTCCGCGCCCCTGGGGGCGACGCGTGGCCGGGAGCTTTTGATCACCGTGTGGCGGCGGCGGCCCCGTGGACGCGCTATGCCTGGCGAGTGGATCACGTGTCGCCTCGCTCCGCGCGGCGGAAGGCTGGAACGAACGCTGACGCTTGGTGACCAGGACGTGGATCACGTGTCGCGGCGAAGCGTGGTGAGCCACGGGCGCGGGAGGGGGCTCAGCGCGGACCCGGAAAACCTGCCCGGGCCTCTGACAGTTCACCAGGAAACTGGAACACACACACACACACACACACACGAGTTCTCCTGTGGGGCATCTTGAGGCCACCTGCTGGCTATACGTGCGGGCGCCAGGCGCGCCTGGCCATGCAAGGGCCGAGCGCTGCACAAAACGTCCGGCCACGTGTGCATGCAGCTCTCGCCCCGGCCGCCCGCGCCGTGCGCGCATACAGCTGCCCGATGCACTCCTTGCCGGCCTTTCTTGGGCCCTCGAGCGTGAGGCCCTCTGGCTGTGCCGCGCGGAGCGCTGTGTGCACGGGGCCGCCGGGCGTTCCTCCGGAGCTGTCGGCGGGGAGGCCCACGGAACTGGGCCTGCGCATCGGCCTCTCCTGGGCCCCGTGGGCCGTCGACACCTGCGTGGACCTTCTGACGGCCGAGGGCGGCTTTCCCGCCGGCGCCAGGCCCACTCCCCGCACCGCCTCTGGGCGGCGCCTGCGGCACGGCACCCTGGCGGGCCTCGCGCGCCGGGAAGCACGACTCGCTCCAGAAGCCCCTGCGCCCAGCGCCCCCCCAACGAGAGCCCTTCCTGCAGAGCCGACGTGCGCAATCCACTCGGGAAACCCATCATATAACTTCTCTTTTTTTTGCCCGGCCCCTCGGCCTTCCCCGCCGTTCCGTCCTCTCTGCTCCGCCTGCCTGTCCTCTTGCTGTTTGGGTTTCTGCGTCGTCACACGAACGGGTGGGCCTGGCCACCACTTTGCACTGCTCGGGATTCGGTCCCGATCGCCTTCTCTATGACAACCCTTCATATAGCTACCACGCGCTGGAGGCCCGCCCATACATCGCGCGGGTCTGGGTCGCCGCCGGCACGCGCCCGTGCACTCCAAAGAGCGGTGCGCCTCCTGCTTTCTGCAGCCTCCGCCACCGGAGCCCCCATGCCATGCCCGCTGCCTGCGGCCGGCCCTCCGCCGCCTCCCGCCGAGGAAGAGGTGGCAACGCCCCGAGCCAGCGCGGATGGGGGGGGCCCAGCGCCCCAACGCGGAGACACGGGCTGCGGACGTCCTTGTGCCCACGTGCCTCTGCCTCGCCCTCCCACTGGCGCCTCACGCCAGAAGGGCCATCACTCCAGCGGCAGCAGCTTCACCGACAGCGCGCAGAGGAAGCCCGCCAGCGTGGACAGCCCGACGATGTCGCCGCCCTGCTCGAACGCCTCCGGCATCATGGTCTGGGCGATCATCGTCAGCATGGCGCCCGCCGCGAGACCCTCCACGCCAGCGATGGCGGACTCCACGTGGAGATCCCCGCTCGACCCCGGCGGGAAGAGAAGCGCCCCGACGGCGGCGCCCACTGCGGTGACGGCCGTGGTGGCCGCCCACATCAGCAGGATCCTGGTCCTGCTGACACCTCGGGCCGTTCAGAGATGGGGCCCTGAAGGATGGAGTTTCTGAACGTTTTCGTTCCGCGCTTTTCCAGCCTCGGGGCTCTCCAGCTGCGCCTCGCAGAGGGCGTTCCAGGGGGCAGGCCAGGGGGCAGTGGCCCCTGTGAAAGAGAATCTCAACCAGCGAAGGCTCGGCTTGGGATCCCTTCCCGATCCTCAGGGCCCCCTTATCGTCCTCAGGACCGCCGCCCCTGGCTCTTGAAAATCGCAGCTCGGCTCTCAGGCGGCCGTTCGGGACGACCCGGGCACTCCCAGAGCGCTCTCGTCGAGGCGCAGCTGCTGGAGGGCGCCTCTGGGCTGGAAGCCCCGCGGAGAACGAACGAGAAAGCCCGAAAGCCGAGAGCGGGAGAGGAGGAGGAGGAGGAGGAGGAGGAGGAGGAGGAGGAGGAGGAGGAGGAGGAGCAGACCTCGCCCCAAACCCCCGAGGGCCCCCTCTTTGAGCCGCCGGGTCGCCGTGGGCGAGCATGCTCCCGGACGAGCTCATGCTCTCCGGCAGGTTGCTGATGAAGACCCCGATGACGAAGGGGAGCGCGGTGGCGGCGGACTGCCGGAAGCCGCGGCCCCCGTCCTCCGCGCTCTTGTTGATGAGGATCCCTATGACCAGGGACTCGGGCACCGCGTCGATCAGGATGCCGAGCCACACCTGGGCGACGAACAGGAGGAGGAGGAGGAGGAGGAGGAGGAGGAGGAGGAGGAGGAGGAGGAGGGAGGAGGGGGCTCCTGAGGGGGACGTGGAGGAGGAGGACGAAGAAGAGGAATATGAGGAGGAGGAGGAGGAGGAGGAGGAGGAGGAGGAGGAGGAGGAGGAGGAGGAGGAGGAGGGGCCTCGCGCGAGAGGGGACGCAGCGACCTCGCGCGGCGGCCGGCCTGCGCGGGCCGCTGCCGCGCGGCACGCCGCACCGGCAACGAGGCCGCGCGTACGAACGACCTCGCGCGGGCAGCTTGCGCGCCAGTTGCAGACAACGCCCGCCTTGCTTTAAGTCGGGCGTGTCCCCCTACAAGAGATTTTTCTACGAAACATAAAAAATACCCCTAGAAATAGTCCTAAAATAGTCGAAACATAAGTCTGGGGGGGCCTGTTTTTTGAGTTTTGTTTTGCCTTTTTGGGTGCACTTTCGGGGTATTCTTCATGTTTCGTCGAAAATCCCCCTGTATGGGGGACAGGCCCGACATAACGCCAGTTGCAGACAACGCCCGCTTTGCTGCGCCGCTCGCCCCCGGGGACGGCGGAGAGGGCGCCCCTTGAGGCCCCTCGAGGGAGCCAGGCCGCCGAGCGCCGCTGCCTGGGGACCGCCGAGCGCCGGGCTCCGCGACAAAGGGCCCCCGGGGAGACCGAAGACCGCGAAAGGCCCCAGGCCAGGACTGGGGCGAGAAAGATTGCAGGGGCCCTTGGGGCACACAGATCAATACACACACACACAGGCAACAGGCCAGGACTGGGACGAGAATGATTGCAGGGGCCCTGGGACACACGAATGATTACACACAAATCACAAGGGATTCCTCTATATTTTCTGATATTTTCTGGGAGTTTGCCTTTCCCCCCCACTTACCATAGTTTCCCATATTTTCGGGGAAATCGACGATTCATTGTGTCTGTGTGTTTGTTCCCCTCCTGACTGATGTCATGACAGGGTTGGCCCAAGATGCGGTCCAGGATTTCCAGGAGCCTCTAGCGGCCCTCGTTTCTGCAGCCGGGGTGGAACGGCAGGACCTCTTGGAATCCTGGCAAAATCCTGGAGAAAGTCGGAGGTTGGGGGGTGAGATCGAAGTGGAACGGAGAGCCCTCCACCGGGAAATCGGTTTCGGTTTCGCGTTCGTGCGTGCCGTGCGTGCGGGCGAAGCTGCGTGGGCGGGCGAGAGGAAAGTCTCCTGGCTGAGGCGCGGCCGGACCAAATGATTCTTCCTCCGGCAAGCGGTGGCCCGCGGTGTCCCGCTGGTGTCCCGCTTGTGGCTGGGCCCTGGCCGGACTGAATGATTCGCCCTCCGGCAAGCGGTGGCCCACGGTGTCCCGCCGGTGTCCCGGTGTCCCGCTGGTGCGAAAACGATAGTGAGACCGATGACGAAATCGATTGTGAGATCGATAGTGATATCAATAAAAAGACCGATAGTGAGATCGATCGTGAGATCGATAGTGAAATCGATAGTGAGATGAATAGTGATATCGATTGTGAGATCGAGTGATATCGATTGGGAGATCATTAGTGGGATCGATAGTGGGATCGATAGCGCAATCGATCGAGTGAGATCGACAGTGCAATCGATCGAATGAGATCGATAGTGAGATCGATCGAATGAGATCGATAGTGGGATCGATGGTCCCATCGATCGTGAGACCGATAACGACATCGCTTGTGAGATCGATAGAGAGATCGATAGTGAGATCGATGGTGAGATTGATCGTGAGACCGATAACGACATCGCTTGTGAGACCGATAGAGAGATCGATCCCGCCGCCGGCCCGCTCCCGCCGCCTTTACGTTCCGATGCTCGACCGCGCGGTGCCGGAAAAGCAGCAAGAGTGCGCCATCCCCGAAAGGCTCCCAAGAGGCACCCGAGAGACCCCCAAGAGCCCACCAAGAGGCCTCCAAGACCCCACAAGAGGTCCAAAAGACGCGCCCAATTTGCCCCCCAAGCCCTTGCAAAATTATCCCAGTGCGACCCTACCTAGGAGTTGGAGCCCTAGGAAAGCAGCATTAATAGTAACAGAAAAGCTAGGCTAAAGCTAAGATAAAGCTAAGCTAAAGCTAAGCTACAGCTAAGCTAAAGCTAAGATAAAGCTGAGCTAAAGCTAAGCTAAAGCAAAGCTAAAGCTAAGATAAAGCTAAGCTAAAGCTAAGCTAAAGCAAAGCTAAAACTAAGCTAACGCTAAGCTAGAGCTAAGCTAAAGCTAAGCTAGAGCTAAGCTGAAGCTAAGCTAAAACTAAGCTGAAGCTAAGCTGAAGCTAAGCTAAAGCTAAGCTGAAGCTAAGCTAGAGCTAAACTAAAGCTAAGCTGAAGCTAAGCTGGCGCTAAGCTAGAGCTAAGCTAAAACTAAGCTGAAGCTAAGCTGAAGCTAAGCTAAAGCTAAGCTGAAGCTAAGCTAAAGCTAAGCTAAAGCTCAGCTAAAGCTAAGCTAAAGCTAAGCTAAAGCTAAGATAAAGCTAAGCTAAAACTAAGCTAACGCTAAGCTAGAGCTGAGCTAAAGCTAAGCTAAAGCTAAGCTGAAGCTAAGCTAGAGCTCAGCTAAAGCTAAGCTGAAGCTGAGCTGAAGCTAAGCTGAAGCTAAGCTGAAGCTAAGCTAGAGTTAAGCTAGAGCTAAGCTGAAGCTAAGCTGAAGCTAAGCTAAAGCTACGTTAAAGCTAAGCTGAAGCTAAGCTAAAGCTAAGCTAAAACTAAGCTAAAGCTAAGCTAAACTTAGCCTGGCGAAGGACCCAACCATATGCAGTTGAGAGTACCGCAATTGTGAATATCTTCTTCGGTGGCGCTCCCTATGGGGCCACGAGCCGTATGAGGGGTGTGCCGAAATGCGTGGCAGTGTACACAACACGAACGAAGACGATAGGTCCGAATATGAAAGCTTGAGCGCGTGCGAGTCGGATCGCGAGCGAGTCTGATTATGAATGAATCTGCGCGCGATTGATTCTATTCGCATGAATGCGTGCATGGATACGCCCAGTGTAAATGTATGTATACGACTGTGAACAGTTTGGGTCTGCGTGACTCTCGGTACTCGTGACTCTGAGCGTCGCCTCTGCAGGGGGCTTCCCTGGGAACCCCGACGGCAGCGCCCGCGCGCCGCGACGCCCATGTCGGCACGCCACACACCTGGTGTGCGGGACGCATGCGGACGGCAGCACTGGGGCCTTCGGTGGAGCTCCCTGTGGGGCCACGAAACGTGTGAGGGGTGTGCCGAAATGGGTGTGCGGGACGCATGCGGACGGCAGCCATGGGGCCTTCGGTGGAGCTCCCTATGGGGCCACGAAACGTGTGAGGGGTGTGCCGAAATGGGTGTGCGGGACGCATGCGGACGGCAGCACTGGGGCCTTCGGTGGAGCTCCCTGTGGGGCCACGAAACGTGTGAGGGGTGTGCCGAAATGGGTGTGCGGGACGCATGCGGACGGCAGCCATGGGGCCTTCGGTGGAGCTCCCTATGGGGCCACGAAACGTGTGAGGGGTGTGCCGAAATGGGTGTGCGGGACGCATGCGGACGGCAGCCATGGGGCCTTCGGTGGAGCTCCCTGTGGGGCCACGAAACGTGTGAGGGGTGTGCCGAAATGGGTGTGCGGGACGCATGCGGACGGCAGCACTGGGGCCTTCGGTGGAGCTCCCTGTGGGGCCACGAAACGTGTGAGGGGTGTGCCGAAATGGGTGTGCGGGACGCATGCGGACGGCAGCCATGGGGCCTTCGGTGGAGCTCCCTATGGGGCCACGAAACGTGTGAGGGGTGTGCCGAAATGGGTGTGCGGGACGCATGCGGACGGCAGCACTGGGGCCTTCGGTGGAGCTCCCTGTGGGGCCACGAAACGTGTGAGGGGTGTGCCGAAATGGGTGTGCGGGACGCATGCGGACGGCAGCCATGGGGCCTTCGGTGGAGCTCCCTATGGGGCCACGAAACGTGTGAGGGGTGTGCCGAAATGGGTGTGCGGGACGCATGCGGACGGCAGCATGGGGCCTTCGGTGGAGCTGGGGCCACGAAACGTGTGAGGGGTGTGCCGAAATGGGTGTGCGGGACGCATGCGGACGGCTCCCTTGGTGGCCCCTGTGGGGCCACGGGTGTGAGGGGTGTGCCGAAATGGGTGTGCGGGACGCATGCGGACGGCAGCACTGGGGCCTTCGGTGGAGCTCCCTGTGGGGCCACGAAACGTGTGAGGGGTGTGCCGAAATGGGTGTGCGGGACGCATGCGGACGGCAGCACTGGGGCCTTCGGTGGAGCTCCCTGTGGGGCCACGAAACGTGTGAGGGGTGTGCCGAAATGGGTGTGCGGGACGCATGCGGACGGCAGCACGGAGGAGAGGAGGAGGAGAAGGTGGGACGCGGGGCGCTGTCTCTTCAAAACGAGGACCCAACACCACAGGATGGTTGGGAACTAAGCTAAAGCTAAGCTAAAGCTAAGCTAAAGCTAAGCTGAAGCTAAGCTAAGTTGGGTGAACCCACGGGGCGCGACTGGGGGAACCGCGGGGCGGGGACTGGGGGAACCGCCCGGGGCGATTTACACTGCACGGCCCCTTTTAAGCTAAGAGAGTAAGAACCCTTCTAGGCAGAGCCTAGGTAGGGAATGAACAAAATAAATCATTATTTCGTTGGTTACGGGGGGGGAGAGTGATACCAAGGCGCCCAAGAGCAAAGGATGACGTAAACAACTCGACACCAAAGCTCCCAAGAGCGAGCGGCGACGCAATAATCACCACTGTTGCCCATTGCTGGGCCCCCCTCCCCCCCCAACCTCCTTATCACCCGCAGGGTGGTCGTATAGGTATCGTTATCATAACCTCTGGCTCCACTGAAGGACACTGACCCATCAAGGCCAGTTTCTTTCATGGTGACAGGCAGCCAGCTCAAGCAACCCTGGATCCAAACTTTGCTGGCGCCTCGCCTCTGCTTCCGCCAGACTTCTGCTGGCGGACCCCCCGCAAGCTTTACTCCCACCGCCCTTCCGCCGAGAGCTTGAATTCCGCCGCCCCTCCTCAGACATCCGAGGGCGTTTTTGGGGGTTCTCAACAAAACTATACAAAACTGGACAAAATCCGCGGGCTCCAGAAGTCTCGACCCCGTCCCGGGGGAGAACATTACCATATCTTCGAGGGCCACGGGACTCGAGAACGGGCCCCAGAGGCCGAAACCTAGGAAACACGCCGGGGTTGAAAAACAGATCGTACGAGACCTGGACTTTCAGACCATAACTCTGTCCTGCGGCGGCCGCTCGGGACGATCCAGGCACCCCCAGCACGCCCTCGGCGCAGCTGCTGGAGAGCACCCCGGGGCGAGGAAACCTCCAGGAACAAACGTGAACTCCCCGAGACCTCCGAACACCGTCGGGTCTGGGTTCTGGAGCGCCCCGCTACTAGGTGGCGACATCGGAACCCTACCCCCACCGACCATCGGTTCTCCCGAATCGATGGGAAGCGAAGGAAGGCTTGGATTTCACCACGTGTGCGACGAATTCCGGACCCTACCCCCGCCGCCCATCGAGTTTGATCGGCGAGGGTAAAATTCGGATTTCGCCGCTAACCCGCTGGGCTCCAGCGGAGACTCGGGTGCCCTCCAACCGGCCGCCCCTCATCGGCGGCGCGGGAGGCCAAGGCAGCGATGGACGGACTGATGGACTCCTGGATTGCTATTCTGTGATCCACCATCGCCGTGCATGTGTAATTATGCCCGTGCTGTGCTTCAGGACTGGCCCTGGCCCGATCGGGCGTTGCTCGGTGGTTCAAAAAACTTTGAGCGTAGTTTGGCAACCAATCGAAACGACAAACTGGGCAACGAACTCCTGGTTGTGGCAACGGTGGACCAACAATGTCTCGAAACGTGTTTGCAATGCAACTGAACAGGCACACGACATGAAAGTTGTGACCACAGCCCCATTCCCATATGCTTATTCCTTCCACTGGCACTGCATCATGGCAAACGCAAACATCGATTCTGTAACGAATATGAGCAGAAACCAACCGACATCGGACATCATGAATTTATCCTAGAGGTATGCTCGCTCAAACCAAATAGAGCCGAAAGGGCTGTGGGACAAACAATGTGAATATGACGATGCTGGCTAATACCCAAGCGAAAATGTTGATTATATCATCACCCCTAGGGGCAGGCAGATTAGTTGTGTCGTATCAGCGTGGCGTGCGCCATTTTCAGTCCCACATCAGACATCCATCCGCCAGCACCGTCACATGCACCTCGCCATTTATCAGCCAGGTATACCATGAGCGTCTAGCGCAGATTTGAAATCCCTCCCCTGTGCCTGTCCGGCGTATTCTAATATCTGCGGAGCTGCGAGAGAAGTCATTTACGCGACGAATAAAGAACTCATACAGAAATTCGTATTGCATGGCCTAGTGTTCACGATAGCTTAGCGGGTCTCATCCTAGAGCAAAGGATGCGCTACACATTCCGCAATGTAGGGGATCTCCTGTTTTACGTTCCGCCTCTAGATCAAATTGGAGGTACCCACGACTCTCTATCTTAATACTGGGCACCCCATGAAAATAGAGGATCGGAAGGACAGGGGGTGGCGTCCTCAGGGAAGGGAGTCCTGAGGGTAGGAAGGGCTCCAAGGGCGGATCCACACTGGTTGAGGCACCCCGTCCTGCAGCACCCCGCCCCTCAGGACCCCATCCTTGAGCCACCGAGCTGCGCTGCGCCGCCGCACCATGATCGCCGCGTGGGCGCTCCCGGCGTCGTGCTCCGCCGGCGACGCGCGCTCCGCGCCGTCCTGGCTCATGAGGCTCCAGTTCGACGGCCCCCGCACGGGCCCGGCCTCTCGGCGGTGGACAAGCCTCCCTTCAGCAGACCTCCCCTTAATGAAAACGACCTGGGACCGAAACCGACGGAGCTGGACCCGCAAAAATGACGGCCGCGACGCCCCCTCGCGAACCGAAAACGGCCGATTCCTCAATCGACGCGTCAGGGTAGGAGGTCTGTCCACCCCCGAGCCTCCGCCTCGCGGCCCCCGAGGTCCCCGTCGAGCACCATGCCCGCGATCTCGTCCACGAGGTCCTCCGAGCGGTGGAGCCCGGAGAAGTTGGACCGGTCGGACCTGCGCGGGCGGCCATGCGCGCTCCGGGCGCTTGCAGCTTCTGCCGCACTGCACGGGCCTCTCCGCCGGGTTTCTCGGGCCCCAGCAGCCTCACAGATCGAGCTGGCTCGGAAAATGCCGCAGAAAAGATCGGGTCCACGGCTCCGGTCGCGATTCTCGATGGTCCTCGGCGGTCCGACATGCGCGGAGGGGGGGCTGTCGGACGTCTTCCCTGGCTCTCGGCGGCCTCCTAGCCTCGGGATGCTCTCCAACAGCTGCGCCTTGTCGAGAGCGTTCCAAGGGTGCCTGGATCTTTCCGAACGGCCGCCAGAGGCCCGAGTTATGGCCCCTTAAAAAACTTGGCGCCGCCCAGGTGTGGGCGCTGCAACTTTTGTTCACGCTGGGCGGCTTCGCCGGAACGAGAGTGGCTACCTCTCTCTCTCTCTCTCTCTCTCTCTCTCTCTCTATATATATATATATATATATATATCCTTCTCTCTGTGTGTGTTTCTCTCTCTCTCTCTCTTTCTCTCTCTCTCTCTCTCTCTCTCTCTCTCTCTCTATATATATATATATCCACCTTCGCCTCAGTCTCTGCTCAGCTGACGCCGTCTTCCACCTATTTCCGTGCGTGACTGTTCGCACCTGCTCTCCTGCCCACGCGCTGCACGTCCTACAGCGTGTGGGTGTGATAGCGTTCTCGCCAGGTCTCGGGCCCCGTGGCCATCACGGGTCGATGCGGCTCGAAGACTGCCACGGAGAGGTGGGGCCTGCAGAGGAGCAACAGGCGGAGCAGTCCTACTCTCTCGAAGGCTCGCGCGGATCTCTTCGACCTGCACGGAGCTGCCCTCCCTAGCGCGCCGTGGGCGGCGCTGGAGGCCCCGCCGGGGGGGCCCCGGCGCCGATCCGAGAAATCGGCGCGGGCCTCCGGGAAGCCACGCTTCTGCCGTCCTCTGCTCTTCGAGTCCTGGGCCGGCGGCGCGCAGAAAGGGAGTCCGGGTAGGGGGAGGGGAGGGCTTCTTAGGCGGAGGCTGCTTCTTAGAAGGCGCCGGCCCTACACCTACTTACAAAGAAGGCCCGCGCCTTCCAAGAAGCAGGGGTGCTTCCAAGAAGCCTTCCTCCCTCCCGCTGCCCCCCCTTGGCGCGTCTTTAGAGGCCTCTTAGGTGGGGTCCGAGTAGATGGGGTCGGAGGATCGCGTCGCATCGCCGATGCATCGCCGATGCATGGGCGACGCATCGGAGATGAAACGGCGACGTCGGCGATGCATCGGCGACGTCGACGTCTAGAAAATCGGGCTCGACATCGAGCCGCATCGCCGATGCATCGCCGATGCGGCGCGATCCTCCGACCCCATCTGGGAGGCCTGGAGTTTCTTGATCTTCGAGCCTTAGGGCTCCGCAGCGTGGAGATAATAATGAAAAACAGCAACTGACGCTCCCCCCCAAAATGGCGGCGGGACAGAAAAGATCATAGCAAGCAGTCTAAACTCCCCAAAGAAGCTGACGGCGACCCTTCTTTGAATCAGGCTGGATTTGTTATGGCGAGCTGCGCTTTGGACTCGGCTAGAAAAGAGCATAAAAGAGCAACCACACCACTGAAAGGACGTCGGACCTCAGGGTGCGGTGAGGGGGCCCAAAACCGCGTACACGAGCACGGCCCCCCGGTCCGCGAGACCGGCCGCGTGACACACGAGCGCTCGCGCAGCGCGCGAAGCCCGCGTGGGCACGTGTATGCGTGCACGTCCGAGCGGGGAGGGGGGCTCCCCGCTCGCTCGCCGCTCGCCAGCGCCCGGGCCCGGGCCCTGGGCGCGTCGGGGCCGCACCCGGGCCCGGGGCAGGCCTCGCAGGCTGCCGCATGGGCCCCGCATGGGCCCCGCAGCGCGCCAGCCGAGGGGCCGGGCCGGCGCACCCCTACGGCTCTGCAGGAGCTCCCGCGAGGGCTCCCCCGGCAGCGCCGGGGCTGCCTCGCCCCGCCCGGGCCCCGAGGGCCCCCGAGCGGCACGGGGCGGGCCTGCGCGCCCTCTATCGAGGCCCCCGAGGAGGCCCCGAGGCCCGGACGCGTCCCCCGAGGCCCGGACGGGCCCGGGGGGGCGGGCCCTGGCGAGAGGATGCGAGAGGAGCTCTCTCTCTCTCTCTCTCTCTGCAGAGGCCGCCTCCGAGGGCGCGGGGGCGCCCTCTCCCAGGCAGGGAGGGGGGGGGGGGGGGCGGACGGCCCAGGGGAGGGAGGGGGGGGCGCGGTCCCGCCCCCCCTGCCGAGAGGAGCTCCCTGGGCCTCCTCCGACGACGCGGGCGCCCTCTCGGAAGGCCAAGGGGGGGGGGGGGGGCTCCCGGAGGCCCCGCCCGCCCTCCGAGGAGGCCTGCTCCATCTCGCCTCGGGGTGGCGACATCCGACCCTGCCCCTCCCCCATCGATTCCCTCCTCCTCCTCCTCCTCCTCCTCCTCCTCCTCCTCCTCCTCCTCCTCCTCCTCATTCTCCTGAATCGATGATTGATGAAAGGGGGGGGGCGGGGGTTAGGGTTCGGATTCCGCCACCTGCTCGGCGAATTCCGCACCCTACCCCCGCCGCCCATCGGGCTGCCCGAAAGCGATCGGCGAGGGCGGGGTTCGGATTCCACCGCCGAACCTCCCCTCTCGGCGCCCCGCCGTGGCTGGGAGGCCAGGGGAGCCACCCTCCTACTGCGCACCCCGCGGCAGGCGAAGAGCCCTTCAGCAACCGCGTCCCGAGGAAGGAGCCCGGCAGGATCGGGCTGCTCGGCAGACGCCCCAGACCAGCCGGCAGGCGCCAGCCATGTTGAGGCCAGCGGGTGGGACCACTCGGGGGGCCTCTGGAGGCCAGCCGGGACTACCCGGGGGGGCCGCTTGTGCGCAGCCCAAGCCTGACCAACCACCTGCCACCACCGTGCCTGACCAGGGCCGTGCCCCCCGAGTATGGGAGGCCTGGAAATGGGCACCAACACCACGACAGAGGGCTGCCTCCACAGGGGGGAGGTGATCCTAGACTTCGGTGTTGGCGGTAATATTTCGGCCACCTTGGAAGCCGGAATATTACCACCATCACCGAGATCGGGATCTTCTTCCCTCGGTGGAGGAACACCGCCGATCTTGGTGTTGGTGTCAACCTCTAGGCCTGCGAGAGTAGCCTGGGGCGGTCTCAACACCCTGACGCCACCTCCCCAGACCCCCGACGTAATGATTTTTTCATTACGTCGACCCCCAGAGGTCCCGACCCTTTCCCTGTGACCGGCTTCGCATCCTGAGCCGTTTTTGGACGCTCCCGAGGCCTGGTGAGGGCCCCCAGAGGCCAAAAATTAGGAAAAACCTCCCGTCATGATTTTTTCATTACTCGAGGAGGAGGATCGAGGAGGAGGAGGAGGATCGAGAAGGATCGAGGAGGAGGAGGAGGATCGAGGAGGAGGAGGATCGAGGAGGATCGAGGATCGAGGGGGTCTGGGTACCCTGGCGCCACCTCCAGCGGCGCCTCCTGGGGCACTCCGCGCCCCAGGGTTGCGGTGTTGAGCTCGGCCGGGGCCACTCGGGGGGCCGGTCGAGGCCGGCCGGGCCTGCTCGGGGGGCCTCTTGAGAGGCCAGCTGGGACTTCCTGGAGGCGCGGCGTGCGCAACCGCGACCCGAAGCCTTCCCCTGTGTGGTGGTGTACAGTCGAGGCGTTGACCGGAGGAACCCTGAAGAAGGAACGAGGCCCCTACTCTCCATAAGTTAAACTTCGATGTCGCATCGGAAACCTAAGGAAAACCTAAGGAAAATCTGCGAAACAATGAAGGAACGCGGAGCCCCTCTCCAACGAAAAGGGTTCCTTCTTCAGGGCCCCGACTGTATTCTGGGTGCCTCCCCTGAGATCCGTCGCTGCGAAACGAGGGGCAACATCGCGAAGAACCACGCCCAGAGCGCCAGACCTCAGATCCTCCGGGACGGCTCGATCTCTGGTGGCCCCTTGCGCCCGAGGCCGGACGCAACCGCCCGGCGGGAAGCGACGGCAGGGCCCGGGGCTGAGGGCCCCGCGGAGGACCTCGTCTTGCTCGACGGGGACCCCTTCGGGGACGTCTCGTCCTCGGTGTCCCAGCCGAGGTCCCGCCCCACGGTCTTCAGCCGCTCCCGCCGGGAGGGCTGGCGCGGGGGCTCCACCGCGAGCGGCGGGGTGGCGATGCGCGGGGTCTCGGCCTGGGCGCCGACCTCCTGCTGCGAGAACGTTGTGACGTCGTCCTCGTGGACGCCCGAAGTCTTGGGGGTCCCAAAGCCGTGTGGTGACCCTGGGGCCCCAAGAGACCTCACCGCACGCTCCGTCACCGCACAGTCTTTTGGACCCTGGAAGCCCCAGTCGCCCGAGACATCCTCGGAGAACGACCCACGTCCCCAAACCGTGCGGTGACCCCGAACCCCCACCGACTCACCACACGGTGTGATCACCACCCCGTTTGGGGGCCCCCGGAAATCAGTACGGAACAAAAATGGGCACGACGCCGCGGAACGAGCGCTGCCCCAAACCGACAGCGGCCGCCATTGGCCAGGCGGCCTCCTGTCCCGAACGGATGACGCCCGCGGCGATACCGGCAGCGAGTCCTGCTCCAAACGAGCAGGATCGAACTGCTGTCAGCCTTCATGCCCACTCTTTCCGCACCCACTCCGATGAGGCCCAGAGGTGCCCCCCGCATGACCCCAAGAAGGGCCAGACGGCGCCCCCAGTATGGCCCCCGAGGCTGCCGAGACACTTCATCAAAGGACTCCCAAGAGGGCGTCGGAAAGCCTCGAGGGCCCCCAAAGTGGCCCCAGAAGCTTCGGAGCACTGCGTGGCATTCTCCCCAGCCTCCCCCAATGGTTTCCGCAACGGCGTCGGTCGTCGTGCTCATCCTTTCCGTACTCCAGATTTCGTAATAAAGGGAGGGGGGTCTCTTCCAGGCTATCTTGGAGGGCCTGGGGGGTCTGGGGACGATGTTTTGGAGGGTTCTCCCACGGGGGAGGTCTGAAATTGCTTGTCTTGGAGGGTCCAGACCCCCTCCCTTTTATGACGAAATCTGGAGTAACCCCTTTCGTTTGTGACGTCGTCCTCGCCCCGGAGCACCTCGGGCATGACGTCGACCTGGCCTGGCAGGCCGCCGAGCGTGCCGCGGAGCTGCGACGCTCCCGTCGGGGCCGAGAAGCGCTCCGCCCACAGACCGGCCTCCAAGTCGAGCGCCTCGGCGTCGTTGGAGCTCGCGTGGTCCTTCGAGGAGCCCCAACGCATGCATAAACATCTACTACCTGTGCGACCACTATTCTGGTGATAAGCAGGTTGTGGGAGGGGGGGGCTCAGCTTTCGGTGTGCGATTGCGGTCTGATCGGATTCGGCGGAAACCAGTTAGGCACCAAGGAGCACATGTTCGGCCATCTACTTACCGATCTCACTCTCTATCTGCATATCTATCTCACTATCGGTCTCCTTCTGTCTGTCGATATCACTACCTATCGATCTCACAGTCGACCTCAAAATCGATCACACTATCAAGTTGTCCATCGATCTCACTATCGACCTCAGGGGACTCCACGGGACACCAGGACACCGCGCCAAGGGACACCACGGGACACCACGGGACACCACGGGACACCCCCGAGCCACCGCCAGCCAACCGTGGGAGGCGAATCATTGAGCCCGGTTTCGCCCCAGCAACGGCGGGTTCATTGCTCTCGCCCGCCCACGCAGCTTCGCCTCGCCCGCACGCGCGACACAAACACGAAACCGAAACCGACGTGATGCCCCGGTGGGGGGTCTCCGTTTCGCTTCGAGCTCACCCCCCAAACCTCCGATTTCCGTGTGTGTCTATTCGGCCCGTTTCCCTGCCCGCGCGCTGGTCGGCGTGCACGGCGTGTGAGTGCGAAGGCGTCTGCGCCCGGGCCCGGGCCCAGAGCCATCACAGCTCGATCTGGCGCGAGAGATGCCGCCCCAGACATGCGACGTCCTGATTTTTTCAGGACGGCGTCCCTGAAAGTCCAGACCCTTTCCCCGGGGCCGGTTTTTCGTCACGACTCGTTTTTCGACGGTCCCGAGGCCCGGCGAGGACCTCCCGTCCTGATTTTTTCACGACGCCATCATGTCTGGGGCAGAACCACAAATCTCAGCAGCATCGGCTCTCGGAGGTCCGCGCGGGGTTCTCGCATCGGCGCTGGGCCCCCTCCTCCCAGCGCACGGAGCCCGCCAGGAGCGGCGCCGAGGAGGCGCCGCTGGGGGGGGCTCCAGCGGCGCATCCGAGCAATCCGTGCGCACCTCCGACCGCCTCTGCTCATGCCTCAGGAGGGGAAAAAACACACAGACACAATGAATCCTCGATCCTCCAGAAAGTATGGGGAACTATGGGCAGTGGGGGGGAGGGCAAAAACCCAGTAAATATGGGAAAGTATGGGGAATCCTTTTATTTGTGTGTATTCATTTGTGTGTCCTGGGGCCCCTTCAATGCCGTTGCTTCTTCCTCGGGTCCTGGGGCAGCAGCTGCGCCAGGCTCCGCTGGTCGATGAGGAGCACGGACGTGGGCTCCAGGGCGCGCGCCACGATCGGCTGGGAGGCCTCGCCCAGCAGGTGCTCCGTGCAGAGCAGGCTGTTCACGTTCGCGACCCGGCGGGTCTCCGACGTCGCCTGCCGCACCTCGATCGCTCCGAAGATGACCGAGATGATGGCCGACGTCTCGTCCACGAGCCCCTGGAACACGAGCTGGCCCGGCTGGAAGGTCACCAGGGGGCACCTGTTGGCCAGGTCCTGCGCCACGGCCTCGGGGAACCCCTTCAGCCGGTCGATCTGGCGCAGGTTCTCGACGGCCCGCCGGGACACGTAGTTGCGCACCTTGGCGCTGCGATCGACCAGGCGCATCACCTCGTGCCCCGGGATCCGCAGCACCTTGGTGCTCTGCAGTGCCACTGCCACCATGCCGCAGTGCATGCCGTTGAGTAGCGCCATGTCCCCGAACACCTTGTCCGGGCCGAGGTCCCACGTGGGCGTGTTTTCTCGGTCTCCCTCGCCGCCTCGGCTGTCCTTGAGGGACGGGCCGTGGCGAGGCGACGTCGACCTGGAGCGCCTGCAGCTGTCTGGGAACTCGGGGGAGCGGCACTCCCTCTCGACGCCTCGGCCCTCCTTGCTGGGTGAGCCGTAGCGTGGCGATGCCGACCTGGACCGCCTGAGATGGGGGAGGCGGGGAGGGAGGGAGTGAAGAGACACAGCGCCGCATGATGAGGTCATCCCGGATCTCTCTGCCCCTTGGCCAGGTCAGTCAACTGCACGACAGATGCTGAGGGTCGAGTCAGCTCAGGGGGGGATTACCTCGAGGCTTCGCTTGCTGGCCCCTGGCTGCAAAAAGATGGTGTGTGCGCGCGTGTGTCGTGTTGAATTGTACAGTGCTGCGCTGTGCTGTGCTGTGATGTATTGTGTTGTGCTGAGTTCTCACTTCTGTAGAACAAGTGTTGCTGATCCCCCATCCAGTGTACATTGTATGCTCTTCCCAGCTCGCACCAGGGTTTTCCTACAAATTACAATGGGAAGTCTTGCGCCTCAGACTGTGACCGCCCCCGGTTTACCACAACAGCGGCTCCCGTCTTCTACCCCCTCACAACCTGCGGAGAAATCGGGCGTTCCCTGCAACTAATCCGGGAATCGCACTCTCGCCTGAGACTTTCTTACACCTTGATCCCCTACAGTCTATTGTCTTGCGCAGCTGCGTTCCAAATCTTCGACCTATTCACGTCCGTCGCTCGTAGCCGTTCGGCTTCCTCGCCTGGCCTACCCCCTGGCTACCCCCCTCCCTGGCATGACCTCGGTGCGCCGCCCCATCTGGCCTCCCCAGGGCAGCCTCCCTCGGCCGCGGAACGGACTATTTTCGTCGTTCGTAGTCGCTCGTCCTTCCCAAGCTGTTTTGTATCGCACGTGAGCTTTGTTCAATCACACTTGAACTGTTTTGTCACACTGGAAACTTTTACCACCCCTGGCCTCCCTCATGGCTTTCCCCTGGCATGGCCTCGGCCACCACCCGGCGTCCCCCTAGCCTGGCTTGCCTGGGCTCTGCGCCGCACCAGCAGGCCTCCCCTTCACGTCCCAGGGCAGCCCCCCTGGGCCGCGTCATCGTTTAGCTTCGCCGTTCGTCGTCCTTCGTCCTCGTCCCTGGCCTCCCCCTGCGCCGCTCGCGCCCCAGGGCAGCCCCTCTAGGACCCCCCCCCCCCCAGCCTCCCAGGGCCATCAGCCTTGGGCCGCGGAGCCCTGCCTGCTCGTCGCTTGTCGTCGCTCGTCCTCCTCCCCGTGCCGCCCCCTGACTTCCCCCAGGCATGGCCTCGGCATCCCCCTGGCCTCACCATTTGGCATCTCACTCGCCTCCCAGCGTAGCCGGGCCGCCCATCTTTAGCCTGTCAGGGCAGCACCCCTGAGCCACAGGACCTGTCATTCCCCACATGTTTCGTGGGGTTGTGGTTTCCTTTCCACCCGCGTCGCACCCGCGTTCACCTCCGCTTTCACCATTTCCCACGTATCCTGCTCATTTCTCCTCCACGCTCATACGCTCATGATGCGCACGCACACATGACATGCGCAACCCCCACCCACATATACATCCTTGTCACGGAACATACGCACCAGACGCATGCAACACATACGCGGCCTTCGCGTGGAACACGCGTACACGCACAGCCAGCCGCATGCGACACGTCAGCATACAGCCAGACTGCAACATCGCGCCTGCATATTTTCCCGAAACGATAAAGTGCGCAGGGGGTGGTCTCTCAGCGCGGCATTTTCTCGACACCATCGGGGGTGCGCAAGGGATGGTCTCTCAGCGCGGCTGCTAGGCGCCCCGGTCGTCCAGAGCACAACAGGCGTGGCACTTTCTCGACACCATAGGGGGTGCGTAGGGGGTGGTCTCTCAACGCGGCCGCTACGCGCCCTGGTCGTCCAGGGCATAGCAAACGTGGCACATTCTCGTCACCATAGGGGGTGCGCACGGGGGTGGTCTCTCAGCGCGGCCGCTATGCGCCCTGGTCGTCCAGGGCATAGCAGGCAAGGCATATTCTCGACAGCATGAAAGGGGTGCGAAGGGATGGATCTCTCACTGCGGCCGCTATGCGCCCTGGTCGTCCAGGGCATAACAGGCGTAGCACTTTCTCGACACCCTAGGGGGTGCACAGGGGGTGGTCTCTCAGCGCGGACGCTACGCGCACTGGTCTTCCATAGGAGGTGCGCAGGGGGTGGGGTCTCCCGCAGAGCAAGGCGTAGCGCGCGTGGCATTCTCTTGCAGCCGCAGGAGTGTGCGAGCAGGGGGCGCCATCATCACCATCATCATCATCATCATCATCATGACCACCACCACAATCATCATCATCATCATCATCATCACCATCATCATCAGCATCAGCATCAGCATCAGCATCAGCATCATCATCAGCATCATCAGCATCAACACCATCATCATCATCGTCACCATCATCATCCTCATCATTTCAATCATCCTCATTAGCTTCACTCTCATCATCATCACCACCAACATCCTCATCCTCACCAGCATCATCATCGTCACCATAATCATCAACATCATCTTCACCATCATCAGCATCGAGAACTGTAGCCACCCTGGCTCATGCCTGCTCAGACCGCTCGGTATTTGAACGCGGGCCACCGCCGGTGACTCGCCGTCGTGCGGTCTCCGTCATTGCGCCCAAATGCGGCATGTCCGCGCTGCCACCGCCGTGCGAGCAACTCAAGAAATCAATGCTAGATTTGGGCGCCGAGGTGAACCTGGATGGTTTGTGCGGAAATGCTGTCAGGCAGGGGAGCGTCTTGATACACGGCGCATTTCGTGGTTACCACCGAGAGCTGATGAACTGGTGGCCTGAGACGCTCCTCACCAGGCACAATGAATTACCGCTTGGACGAGGTGCCGACGATGCAAGGAGACAGTGCTTGGTGAGGTACTTGCAGGGCCGTCTCTCTCTCTGGTGGATTTGCCCGGGACGACGCCCTGCCGTCAGCGAAGGTTCAGCGGGTTCACGGGGCAGGCGTCGCAGGCGCCGACCCAGAACCTCCTGCAGGACAGCACGCCACTCCCATGAAGGCCACGCCCGTGACGCCCACTACAACGAAGGCGCCGCCCGCGCAGGTTTTCACCCTGCAGCGGTCTCTGGCACTTCTGTTGGCTGCCTCTGTTCGGTCCACTGGCACGCCTCGCAATCAGCTGCCCCCGGACCCGGCGGAAACCGACTATCGTTGATCGCAAGGGCCATGGTCGCGGGAACTGCGAGAATCAATCCAGTTCGAGAACCTGTCGTCAAGAGCGGATGCGAAAGCAGTCGAATGGTACACTTAGCTCACTGCCAAGCGCGCTGCTGATCCAGAGTGCCGGCCTTCGAGACGGGGCGGGGCGACGATGCAGACTTGCCGCAGGCGCTTTACAGGTACTCTGCGAATAGTGGATCTTACAGAACGGATGTGCCCACCCCTTGTGTTTTCGCTTTGCAGCCTGGCATGCTCGCTGGAGCCAGCGCTAAGTCCTACGGGGAGGTGAGCGACGTCCCCCAGCGTTGGACGTTTCGAGCCGCTGCTGGTCATCATGGCATCGCCTCTTTGCGCGACGTGGAAGGCGTCGCGCGCCGCGCGCGACAGGCGGCCCTGGCAGTGCGGCTGGATGCGGCGAAGTTCCTCTACTCACCTGGCCAAGAGGCGGCCCGACCCTGTCAGGACCAAGCGCATCACGCAGGTGCTCGCTGCTTGGGCGGACTTCAGAGTCATGGCCCTCGCCCGCGCGGATTCATTCTTGTTCGCAAGCGATTTCTTCGCCTGCGTCATAGACGACCTACGGCCATGGGGCCCGGCCCGAAGCGTTCGAGAAGGAGCTGCTGGCCCTTTCGCGCATGGACTGGAAGGACGTTATCCCCGACCACTCGCGCGCTGATCGCCTGTTCGACCAAGGCCGCGAGAAAGCGTAGCGACTGCAATTTCGAGGTCTGCGCGACAGCATGCCGGACGTGTGGAGCGGAACGGATCGCGTGGACAAGCATGTCCAGATGCTAGAGTTGCAAGATCTCGCCTTCCAAGATAAGCTGGCAGGCGAAGATGATTCGGACGACGAGGATGAGGCGCCTGGCGCGAGACGGGAAGGACCCCGAGCCGGCGTCATTCGACGGAGCTGGCGTGCATGCCACTCTTGGCGCTTACATCATGAGCCTCGTGGCTGGCTTGCCAGAGAAAAAGCGGCTCACTCGAGACCAAATCATCTTACTCATGCGCTGCGCTGAATCCTGTGACCAAGTCTGGCGCGACGAGAAGAACGGCACCCCCTGCCACCAGCGCAAGGTTCACCACGTCCTCCTGCTGGTTCAGGGTGGAGCCGGCAAGACGCACGTGGTCCAGGGTCCAGGAGATCGTTTTCAAGGCGGTGAACCATATCTGACCGGAAGAGAGCAAAGCCAGTTCGAGCCTCGCCGCGGCGGCGTTCTCCAACGCTCAGGCCGAGAACATCTCGACGGCGGACGCGGAGGCCAGGGCGATCCACGGAGCTGGAGGCGTGGCCGTGCAGGAGCTGACCAACGACAGGATGCGGCCCAGCGCCGCGAAGCTTAAGAAGCTGGAGCAGCGCTGGCGCCGAGTGCGCGTGCTTGTCATGGGGGGGAATCAGCATGATGACTGCGGCCCTCTACAACATGCTGGACTTCAGGAGCATGTTCGGCAGGCGCCGGGAGTTCGCCGTGGACAAGTCGAAATACAGGAAGGGTAATTTTCAAAGGAGCTGCAGCTGGCGCCTAGGCGAGATCGCCCAAGCACCTTTAGGGTGTCCAACAACAATAATTGTTTAGCACCTTAAGGGTTAACGGACATCGTTTTAAGGCTAGTGGTTCTCATTTGCTCGCGTGTCATCCAACGTGTACATCCCGAACCCTGGATATCCACCCTCTTCGTCTTCGATCGTACCCCCCTTGGGGTTATATCGCCCTTACCCTGTCACGTGTAGCTGACGCAGCCCCTACCACACGGGAAGCGAGGGGGGGGGGAAGGAACAAAGGGGAGGGATAAAACTGGCGCGCGAGAGAGATTAGCAGGCGGAGGGTTAGGAGCAGGAAGCAAGCGGCAGCACCAGACGGGCGGGTCGGGCATGCGGACCCTCACGGGCGGGCGGGCCCAGACAGCCTGGACGGCCGAGTCGACCGGGCAGGTCGCTGAAGCATCAGTCCTGCATCATTCGCGAGAAACGGCGCGATTTGCAAGTAAACCTTAAAGTAAAAAGGTCCAGAGAGAGAGAGAGAGAGAGAGAGAGCGTGATTCCTGAGTGCCGAGGGCGCGGCGTCTTATTAAATTGCGAGGAAGTCCCACTCGAGAGCGCGACTCCTGCATACATTGTGAGGAAGGCTCGCGAGAGAGCGCGAACTTGAATAAAGGGCTGGAAAAAAAACATCGGATGGGAACCGCTGTTGTGGTAAACCAAGGACAAGGGGCACAGTCTGACGCGGAACATCTTCCATTGGAAAACCCATGGTGCGCGCCCCAGTAGGGGGGAGGATCAACGATAATTATTCTTCAGAAGTGATGACTCAACAACGCTTCCCGCCTGATGCTTCCCCACCATGTGTTCAAGATCATGTTACCGCGCGGCACGTCACAATTCAGTCAAAATCGCGCTGCCGCGTGGGACTTCCTCACAACTAATGGAAGCGCAGCGCCCTTGACACTCAGGAATCGCGCTCTCGCTCTGGACTTCCTCAAGATTTACTTGGAAATCGCGCTTTCGCTCGAGATTTCCTCGCGAATGGTGCAGGACTGACGCGTCAGCGACCCGCCCGCTCGACCCGCCTGTCAGGGTCCGCCCGCCCGACCCGCCCGTGAGTGTCCGCCCGGCCAACCCGCCCGTCTGGTTCTGCCGCTTGCTTTCATGCTCCTAACCCCCTGCTGCTAATCTCTCTCGTGCTCCATCCTTCGTCCTCCCCCTTGTCCCTTCCCTCCTCCCTCCCTTTCCCTGCGTCAGGGGTTGCGTCAACTACACGTGGCAGGTAAGGAAGATACATTTCCGAAGGGGGTAAGATCGAAGACGAAGAGGGCGGGTATCGAGGGCACTTGGGATTTACAAGAGCGAACAGTCTTGAAATGATTAGTGTTGTTGCTGTGTGTTGAAAGATGTTGTGTTGCGTCGGTCCTTGGTTGCCTAGCTGAGCCTGACATCGACTTCTTTGGATCGCTCGAGTGGCTTCTGCCCCAGCCCCGTTCGAACGAAAAGTTCGCACATTTGTGCAACAACACTTCTGTCGATCCTTCGGAGGCTAGCCTCACTTGGCTGGGCCAGCGCAGGAGACGGAGGAGAAGCAAGGGGAGAGGACGCGCAGCAGAAGCGGGACCAGAAGGAGAAGCAGGAGCAGGAGGAGCAGGAGGAGGAGCAGGCAGAGAAGCAGGCGGAGCAGGAGGAGCAGCAGAAGGAGGAGCAGGCGCAGGAGAAGGACGAGGAGGGCCTCCTCCCTCGCCGCTCTTCCCCCCTCCCCTGAGATCCGACGCTGCGTACACAACATGCAACATCGCGACAATCACGACCGGAGCACACTAGACCACATCTTTCTGCAGCATTTCGGCGCGGGGTCGATCTGTGATGGTCCAGGGGGCCCTGAACCGAGCGAAAACGCCCGGCGTGCTCCCCGCGATCCGGGCACCCCCGGAACGCTCTCGGTGAGGCGGGGGGGCGCAGCTGCTGCAGAGCACCCCGAGGTTGGAAGACCGCCAAGACCCAACGAAAACGCACGAAGACCTCGGAATCGGAACTTCGAGCCGCCTCCACGCCCAGACGATCAGCCATGGCCCCGGGGCCCTAAAAACTGGGCGAAAGCGTCTCGTTCAAAAAACTTGCAGCACCCGGATCTCAAGGGCGGCGCCGGGTTTGGTCTTCGGGTCATGGCTCGGGTCTCGGACGGCCGTTCGAGACGAGCTGGGCGCCCCCGGGACGCTCTCGGCGAGGCGCCGCTGCTGGAGAGCCCCCCGAGGCTGCAAAGACCGCCCGCCCCGCGCGCCTGAAGTCTGGCAGCTTGGGGGAGGGGCACTCCGCCAGCGCCCAGCCGAGGAGCGTCCCCTGTCGCTTGGGCACGGGCTTCTTCGGGCCCAGCCCGACGTCCTGGCTCTCGGAGAGCTGCAGCCTGGCGGCGCCGACTTGCCCGCGCGCACACGCACACTCACGAGCGTGCGTGCAGTGTGTGTGGTATGCGATATGAAATGCGTCTTGACACTGACTGCACGGGCAACGGCCCAAGGACAACGCCGCGCCGGCCCACAGTACTCGGAAGACGACGACGACGACAAGGAGGCGAGCACCGGGGGGAGGAAAAAACGATGAGACCACAGGGGAGAGGAAAGAAACGCAAGGCCCCTGCTGGAGCGCGCGCCCTCCGTGACGCCGCTCTCTGAGCCCAGCGGCAGCGGCCGTGAACGAGGACGGAGAAGGAGAGGGAGGAGAAAGCAGCGAGCAGACGCGGTCATGCAGGGAGGAGTACGAGTGAACGGCAGCAAAAGCGCGAAGCAAGCAAGCGTGCGGGGGGCGGTCTTGAATCCCTCTTGGGCTGTCTTGGGGCGGTCTTGGGGCCCTCTTGGGTTGTCTCGGGCCAGCCTGGGGGGCACCGTTGGCCGTCTTGGGCTTCAGAAGCTCAAAAAGTGATATCACCTTCAAAGAACTATGAAACATCCCAATACGGGTGCCTTTGGAAACCTTATATGTACAAAGATATGTATACGTGCCTTCCCCGTCCTAAATTGCTTCTAGGCGGAAAGGGTGGAAAACCCCGTCGCCCCCCCAGAACCGGACCCCCGGGATCTGGGGCTTTCGGGCCTCCTGGGCGCCCTTGATCGAGGTCCCCCGTGCACGGCGTGGTGAACGTTGGTGCCGTGTTGAAACTGTATTGAAAGGCTCCCCGTGGCGGCCTCCAAGACGGCCCCAAGACGCCCCAAAGACAGCCCAGAAGGCCCCAAGAGAGCCGACATGGCCTCCAGGTCGGTCCAAGATGACTCCAAGACGGCCCAGGATGCCCCCCAGGCTGCCCAAGAGGCCCCCAAGACGCTCCAAGAGGGCTTCAAGAGGACCTCCGGGAGGCCGAACAGATCGATGTCCCGTGGGTGTTTCAATACTTGTCGCGTTCTCGCCTTTTTCGGGCTTCCGACATCCGAAGACGGCCCCAGAGGCCTCCAGGATAGCCCCAAGACGGCAGAAGAGGCCTCCAGGGGGCCCCTCAGACGGCTTCAGAGGGCCCCAGAAATCATCCCCGCTCTCGTCCTTGTCCGTCTACTCCTAGCCTTCTCGTCCTCCTCCTCCTCCCTCCTCCTCCTCCTCCTCCTCCTCCTCCTCCTCCTCCTCCCCCTCCTCCTCCTCCTCCTCCTCCTCCTCCTCCTCCTCCTCCTCCTCCTCCTCCTCCTCCTCCCCCTCCTCTTCCTCGTCATCCACGTCCCCCTCTTCCTCTTCTGCGTTTCTTCTTCTTCTTCGTCTTCTTCTTCATGTTATGTTTCTTAGCAGCATTGCCAGTACTCTTGATAGGCGGTATTATCATCCATTCATCGTCCATTCATTATCGTCCTCGGAGCCTCGGAGCCTCTGGATCAACAAGTCCCACGATGCGAAAAACTGGACTCAACAACGACAAACAGGAAGAGAGCAGCTCGAGCACGAGAGCATTTTCGGGGGAGCAACAGGCCCAACAACCTGTCACTGCGTACCACAAGGCGAGATGGCTCAAGCGGCGAATCAAGCCCTGTGAGCTGGAGCATATTCGCTACAGCAGTCGAGTGCAATGTGTGCACGAAGAGAGGCAGCGACGCATGCTGCTGGTCGAGCCGCGGGGCTGCGCCCTGGTGCTCATTGACTTTGCTATCATATGCTAAATTCGAGATCAACGCATATTTTCTCCCTAGACAGGACAGCCCGCCTGCTCTACTCCACCCACAGGGCCACGGCATCGTCCACGTCGCACCACCTGTCGTGCTTGACGGCGGCCTTCCCCTGGCACGTGCCCCTGTCGGGATAGTCCGCCGAGGACAGCTGCCTCCAGGTCGGCGTCTTGAACGTACGCTTCTCGCAACCACTCGGCATGTAGATGTAGCACCCGGGGGCCTTCGGCGCTGGCGGGGTAGGCGGCGGGGGGGCGATGAACAACATCCGGGCGTCTGTGGTCCCGCACCACGCGTCCAGCAGCTCCTTCGCGTCGCTCAGGCACTGGCTGCGGACGTTGGCGTCCTCCCTCTTGCGCCAGGAGTCCCTGGCGTTGTAGTTGTGGTTCGGACATCCGCTGGGCAGCCAGACGTAACACCCTGGCTCGGCCGGCCTGGTGGGCCCCTCCCCCTCCTCCTTGGGCGCCTGCTGGGCAGGCGCGGCCGCCACGGCGTCGGCGCCGCAGATCTCGATCGTGGCGCCCCTGGAGTCCAGCTTGGCCTCTGGCCGGCCAGGCGTCGGCGGCTGGAGCGTGAGCCTCCTCGGGGCGCTCTTGTTCATCCAGAAGCCCGCCTCCTTCAGGCACGGGACCTTCATCGTGGACGCCATCCAGTTGGCGTGCACGGAGATCACGTCGGACACCTTGAGCAGCTCGCGGTGGCCCCAGAAGACGTTGCCATTCGTGAGCCGGTCGCTCCCCGCGACGCCGACGCGGACTCCTGGCAGCTGGTCCAGCGCCTGGACCAGGGAGTACTGCTGGTAGTGGCCGTGCACAAGCTCCTGATCCTTGAAGATTCGCATGGTCGTTAGCATCAGGTCCTCCACCATGGGCGACATGCGCATCACAAAAAGGCCTGTGTTGATGTCGGCACGGCGCTTCTCAGGACCGACCAAGATATCCTTCATGCCGCGTGTCGCGTATGTCTCTGCTACGTCGTCTACAGTCGTGGCCTCTTTAGACAACATGTTATTCGGTGAGAAGACGATGTCATACTCGTCGAATGCTCCGGATATGGTCTGGGTCTTCCCAGTGGAGACATTGATCAGGTAGTCCGTCGGGCAGTTCAGATAGACAATGTCTGGATCAGAATACGCAGCCCATCTCGCCGCCTTGCTCATGGCAACCAGGGTCAGCACTACATGCTTGCGGAAGACTACCGCCCAATATTCGTGCGACCCCCAGGCCACCTCGTCTTCAGAACCGGCTGACTCTCTGAAGACCTCGACGCAGACTGGACCACCGGGCTCCAAGAAACTCGAGCAGACGTTGCCACCTAGGCCGACAACAAGAATAGGGGTATCGCACTGCGCGGCATTCAAGCTAAGAACCATGTTCTCGCCCATGCTCAACATGCCGCCGTCCAGCACGGTCACGAAGAACACGCTCTTCTTCTTGCTGGCTTTCCGAATTCCGCCCAGCAGCCTCTCGGCATCCTCTTTCGGCATGTGCCCCTCCGCAGCTGCCTCGTAGAACGGCTCGTGGCGTAAGGCTGCGTGCAGCTCCGTGGCCCACGGAGCTGCTTCTGGAACCTGCGACAGTCCGGAGACCACCGCTGCAAGCAGAGCGCAGGGCAGCGCCACCACTCCCATGCCAGAGCGAAGGAGCACGGACGGCACGAAGGGTGCAACAATGCACGCGTGCGAAATTCAGTATCCACTGCGCCTCGTAGCCAAACAGGGCCAGAATGGCTACGGAAACGCAATCTCAAGACTCGAGAAGCTTGAACGACTTCTGCGCTTCCTTATTGCCCGCCATCCCCGGTGGGCAGGGCTTCCTACGGCTGACTGCCCAGTGCGAGCGGTGCGCTGCACTGACGTCGATATGGTGTGGGAGGTGTCGGCCCGCTCTCCTCCTCCTCCTCATCCTCCTCGAGTCTCCACGGAAATCCCACCAGCCCTTTAGGCGTGGGTGGCCTAGCTTCTTTCTTCCCTCTTCCCAAACCCCTCTTCCCTTAGGGGAGGGGTACCCTCCCCCTCCCGTCCCTGAGGTCTTTCGTTGGGGGGTTCGCGAGCAGTCAGGGCGCCCAAGATGGCCCAAGATGGCTCCACGAGGACGTCCGATGCTCCGAGATGGCTGCCAAGATTGCTCAAGATAGTCGAAGGTGGTTCATGATAGCTTCCCGCATACCTCCAAGAGGCCCGACAAGGGCCACAAGACAAATCCAAGTGTTCTTGGAGCCCCCTCAGGACCCAGAGGTCAACATCCTTCAAACACCTAAGGAAAGCAATGATGCCTGCCGTCTCGCCTTTTCGCTTTCGGTGATGATGATGATGATGATGATGATGATGATGATGTTGATGATGATGATGATGCTGATGATGCTGATGATGATGGTGATGATGGTGAAGATGAAGATGCTGATGGTGATGATGACGACGACGATGGTGATGGTTATGATGATCATGATGATGATTCTGAAGATGATGATGACGATGATGATGATGACGATGATGCTGACTATGACGACAATGATGATGCTGGTAAAGATAACAATGAAGAGGAGGAGGAGGATGATGCTGGTGATGATGATGATGGCGATGATGATGATGCTTATGATGATGCTGTTGATGATGATGATGCTGATGATGATGGTGTTGATGTTGATGAGTAGGTTGATGGTAGTGATGGTGATGCTGATGGTGATGCTAATGATGCTAATGATGATGATGATGATGATGATGATGATGATGATGATGATGAAGATGACGATGACGATGACGATGATGGTGATGATGATACTGCTGCTGATGATGCTGATGGATATGTGTCGGAAAGGGACGGAGCGGACAACATCCCGACCAAGCACCACCGTAAATCAATAGTGAAAGTACTGCCAACGCTGGTCAAATGCATCGTTCCTCAAGCGACAGTGCCCCCGCACGATATTGCGTCAGGAATGCCATACGGGGTCGAGAGAGGAGGAGGAAAGAGGAGGGACGGAACCAACGGCGAGCACATGGTATCAGGCTGCGTCCGAGACATTCCAGACCGACTCGAAGCTGGCAGCCACAGGATTCGAAAGACGAGAAAGAGAAGGAGGAACGAGGAGGAGGGGTAGGACGAGGGCGAGAATGTGGCTCGCGCGTGCGCAGTTCGCACGTGTTCCTCACGAACACCTCGAATCTGCGGGGTCTCCGCTGTGCTCACGGGGTAGAGTCGACGCAGGACCAGCTGGCACGTACCCCGATCTCCATGACGCTACGCGTCACTAACAAACGTCATGCAAAGCTGCTGGAACGAACGGTGGGGAGGAGGAATAGAGGAGGGAGGGAGGCGGAGGACGGAGGAGGGAGGGGAAGCATCGCCCTCGACGAACGCCTCAACTGCATCACGGGTCCTCCCGGCCGGCCTGGGGAGCAGCGGATGCGGAGGACGATGCGACGGTGATGGTGATGATGGGCCACCAGTTTCATCAGCATCACCATTCTCCCATCACCAGCATCTTCAGCATCAACATCAACATCAGCATCAGCATCAGTATCATCATCGTCATCATCATCATCATCATCATCATCATCATCATTATCATCATCAACCTCATCATCCTCATCAGTATCATCCTCATCCTCATCCTCCTCATCAGTATCATCCTCATCCTCATCCTCCTCCTCCTCATCAGCAGCATCAGCATCAGCATCAGCATCAGCATCAGCATCAGCATCAGCATCAGCATCATCATCATCATCATCATCATCATCATCATCGTCATCATCATCTACATTATCATCATCATCCTCATCCTCATCCTCATCGTCACCATCATCCACAGAAGCATCAGCATTAGCATCAACATCAGCACCACCATCAGCATCATCACCCGTACCATCCCACATCATTCATCACCAAACACTAAACAACACAATCGACTCGCTCAAAACCGCGCTACAGACAGCAAATACAGTATATGTGTCCATCGTTGTTTGTTTTCCTGTCAGTTCTCATGGGCAGGTGTTCTGAGCGGGCTAGTGAGGATACGCGAAGCGTGAAGAACTAGAGCACGCGGTGTTGCAGTATGCACGAACTGCAAATGCTATTACAGCGGCGGTCAGTGTCGAGGCTTCCTTCCATGGCCCAGGTCCCCCGAAGCCGCTGGATCCACAGGGTCACGAGATGCGAGGCTCTCCAGGCCGCGGTGGGATGCACCCCACCCTTGGCTCTGAGCTGGACCCACGAGGGCGTGTTCCTTCGGGTCTCGATGTGGAGGCTGGACTCGCAGAAGGCGTAGAAGACAAGGGCAATATGAGGGCAAGACAACTGCAACAGCTCGCGAAGAATACATGCCAGCAGGGCCACGCACGCATATCCAAAAAGTTGGGGAACTAGCAAAGACTCCATCTCTCTTCTAGACTTGCCGGCGGAACCTAACGGGCGGGTAGGGCGGGCAGATCCTGACGGGCCCGAATATTGAAGATTCCTGCTGGCTTTCCGATGATTGTCTCGGGATTTCTAGAAATTCCTTGGATGCGGGAGGATTCCCGGATATTCTCCGAAGGTCCTCTCAAGATTACTCACGACCCACGAACGAATTCTCTTGGGATCCTCCGGGTTCCCGAAGGCTCCTCGGGATCCACCGAAGATGCCTGAGGATTGTACAGGGTTGGTTGTGTGATCATTACCTGAGAACTCACATGTCCAATACTTTTTCAAAAGTTGTACGGGGTCCTCAGCAACTATTTGTGGTGTCCTCAGTAGTCCCAAGGTAGGAATATTCGAGGTGTCGTTGGGGCACGTTTGCATGCTCATATCTATCTCTATATATATATATATATATATATATACATACACCGATAGGACCACCCTACGGGTGATAAGGAGGTTGGGGCAGGGGAAGGGGGATGCAGTCGATTTGCAATGGGTCTGAGTTCATTGCAGGTTTCTTCAACTGTCCTATCTGTCATTCGACCTATATATCGCAGTAACGGTTCAAAATACCCATTTATCTATCTTATGTCAACCTATATGTACATTCCTCTTCCTATATTTCTATAAGCCTGGGCGGAGGGACCCGCCCCCCCCAAAAAGAAAAACGGACTCCCGGGATCCAGGGCTTTGGGACCCTCCGGACTGGCCTCGAAGCGGACCCCCGGGCCTGGCAGGGCGTTTTGCCAAGCCTTCCCAGCACACCTAGGGCGATCAGGGGGTCATCGGAGACGTCCCAGAGACCCCCAAGACAGCACAAGAGCGCTCCAAGAGTGACCGACGTGACCTCAAGATGGCCCAAGAGGCCTCCAGGACGGCCCCAAAGAGGCCTCCAAGAGCACTCCCAAGAAGGCCCCAAGAGGCAAACATCATTGATTTTCTGTTGGTTTTTGGTGAATTTGGGGGTTCTCCTCTTTTCGGCTTCCCGACGCTCCAAGACGGCGGTCTTCTGGGCGTCCGAAGCCGCCTGGGAGGCTCCCGAATCGCCCCACAACCATCCGAAAGGGCTTCCAGGCAGTCCAAGAGAGCCCCAAAACGGCACAACACGGGTCCAAGATGGCCCTCAGAGAGCCCCATGGCGGCCCAAGATGGCCCCAAGACACCCTCCGAAGCATTCCAAATCGTGACCCGGTCGTTCAGGGAGACCGCGGTTGGAGGCAGGGTGGCCCGAGGAAGCCCCCAGAGGCCCCAAGAATACGCCCAGGAGGCCTCCCGAAGGCCTTAAGAAAGCCTGAAACAACTTTTGTGAGGCCCCCAGAGGCTGTCCCAGGAGGAGCCTCCGCAAAAAAAAAAACTGCGGAGGATGAGGAGAATGCGCAGGGTATGGCGAACATGAGGAAAAGGAAGCATGGAGGAAGGATAACGAATAACGTTATCATAGCGGCGATGCCGGAAAAGGCAACAAGGAGTTATCACTAAATTGTCGGCTTGACCTTCCTGCTATTCCGCCTGCGCACCAAACTTCAAGGACCAAGGTGCATGGTGCGAAGCGCCACTGCAGTCTTGTATGTCTATATATATGGTATGATATGATATGAGATGAGATGATATGATATGATATGATATGATATGACCATGTATATATCTCTCGACATATTCCTCTTCCTCTATTCTTGTAAGTCTGGGCGGGGGGAAAACCCCTCACCCCCACCAACAAAAAACCAGACCCCCCGGATCTGGGGCTTTGGGACCCTCCGGACGGGCCTCGAAGCGGCCCCCCAGGCCTCGCAGGGCGTTTTGCCAAGCCTTCCCAGCACACGTAGGGCGATCAGGGGGGTCATCGGAGACGCCCCAGAGACCCCCAAGACAGCACAAGAGCGCTCCAAGAGTGACCGACGTGACCTCAAGATGGCCCAAGAGGCCTCCAGGACGGCCCCAAAGAGGCCTCCAAGAGCACTCCCAAGAAGGCCCCAAGAGGCAAACATCATATGGATCTTCTGTTGGTTTTTGGCGAATTTTGGTGTTCGCCTCTTTTCGGCTTCCCGACGCTCCAAGACGGCGCTTTTCTGGGCGTCCGAAGCCGCCTGGGAGGCTCCCAAATCGCCCCACAACCATCCGAAAGGGCTTCCAGGCAGTCCAAGAGAGCCCCAAAACGGCACAACACGGGTCCAAGATGGCCCTCAGAGAGCCCCATGGCGGCCCAAGATGGCCCCAAGACACCCTCCGACGCATTCCAAATCGTGACCCGGTCGTTCAGGGAGACCGCGGTTGAAGGCAGGGTGGCCCGAGGAAGCCCCCAGAGGCCCCCAGAATACGCCCAAGAGGCCTCCAGAAGGCCTTAACAAAGCCTGAAACAACTTTTGTGAGGCTTCCAGAGGCTCTCCAAGGAGGATCCCCCGCAGAAAAGAGCTGAACAGGATGGAGAGCATGCGCAGGGTATGGCGAAAATGAGGAAAAGGAAGCATG